TGAATTGTAAGTCCAACTAAGTATTTGAATCATAAAATACTACAAATCAAGGCACTTATCTCCATAAAAATCCCGCCAATCAACTAGAGAATTGTTATTCCACATCTTTCTTACTTGAATACTCCTAAAGAATCCCTTATGAGCCTTAAAAAGACCACTTTGAGAATCAATTTAATTCTTTTCATCTTGATTCAACACTATCATTTCCAAGCAATCATATAAACCCTCCCTTTTTTAAGTAAATTATAAACTCTTTTAAACTCCATATCAACCTTGTAATCTTTTTTAGAATCAGGATCAAGATCAAAATGAAGATGTGGATTCAAAAAATGTTACTGCATGCAATGGTCTATGGAGTTGAGATGCCTATCTATGATCAATAATTTTTTAAATAGACTAGTAATTTAAAAAAGAAAGTGGGCATGTTAGATAATAGTTGAATATTAAATTTTGAATAATTAATTATATTAAATAAACAACTAATCATACATTTCCTTGACATTCTTAAAATTTTATTGAATATTTTCTTTGTAGCAATCCATCTTTTCATAAATGAAATGTATGACGACTTCTCATCAAAGTCCATCAAACAAAGTACCTTAATAAGTATATATGCAACATTTAGACATACAATGGTATTTTATCAAAAGTTTCTATTTAAAATCACTTTTTCCACAAACATTCCAGCTCTCAAATTTGGATACTTATTATGTTTCCATTTAAAGAAGGAAAAAATGGACATCGATGCACCCTTAAGTTCATTGAGGCACTCTTAAGTTCATCGAGGCACCCTAAAGTTCAACATTATGTAGTAAAATGAGTAGTAGCTGATTTAATTAAATCCCTACTTTTGGTAAACTACTTGATCAAATAAGTAAATAGAGTTCTTGAATAGATGAAAATTGTTACATTTTTTGCCTTCTAAATTGTATCTTTGTGGATTTCCAATTTCATCTCAAAATCCTCCAACATCAAATCAATGCAATTTGCTACATAAGATGTCCAAGATAGTGTTTTTCCTGTCTCCATTAGCATCTGCCATGTAACTTTATAATTACTAATTGCCATGTAACTTTATAATTAGCAACATTGTCTATAATGACCTACACAACATTTTCTTCCCTCATTTTCCCAATGATATCATCTAATATCTCAAAAACATTTTTAATAGTTTTTGAAATTTCATATATATCAATTGATGATAAAAAAAAATATTCCCATGGAACAATTTACCAAAAAATTCACTATAGATCATCGTTTTGTGTCACTCCATTCATTTGACATAATACTACAACTAGTTCTTGTCTTTTTTATTATTTTAAGAAATTCATTTACGTAGCTTTAACTTTTTCTAGAAATATGTTTCTCTAATTTGGTGATAAGGAGGGGATTTGCACCAAATCTCAAATCTCCTAATTAGCTCACACAATTTGATGAAATGTGGATTCTTCACACAATTAAAAGATTGTGTTGCATTTATGTAAAAACAATCTGGCAACAAGTTGATGTACTTCCTCCTTTAGGTTAGGTTTCAACATTTGATTCATTATAAATTGAGTGCTTTTGGATCTCCTAAATAAAGAATCAAAATACGCTTTTTTTCTATCATTTTTTTGTCACTTTTTCTTTTCCCTATACTACCTTTTCATCACTATTATCACTTCTTTCAACCCCTCTATTGAACCTCTGTTTCTTTTTTAAATGCCCCAATTGACTTAGTAAAACTTCAAGCTTTTTTTTTTTTTTTTAATATCTTGTGGCACATTCAAACATACTCCAACATTATTTTTAACGTCAATCAAATGATGCTTAAAACGAAAAGTACTTTCAGTAACTTTCTTTGAACAATACTTGCTTTTACTTTTTCTAGAAATACTATTTATATCAAAATCACATTCTAGCCAATATCACTTATATTTCCCAAAGTATTCTTTCTTGCACATTTTTTAAAGAGAGATATCACCACTTCTTAAAATCATTAAAGCTTGAAAGTCAAACTAAAAAGACAACATAAATATAGATAATTGTTAAGGATAATTGTTATTCTTAACATAAAAAATAAAAGCAAATTAAAATAAATTTAAAAGGTTAATAAGAAAATATTATAAAATCATTATACAAACAACAATTCTAAGATTCTATC